ATACCCTTAAAGAACCCAATTATACAAGTTCTGTCCCAACCGGCTTATTGGTATTACTGAAATGTGGAAATGTTTAGTTCGTATTTCATGGCAATGTTTATCTTTTTATATGAAACAGCTGTTTTCTGTGAAGACACGTCTGCCATTCGCAGCATGAAATGTTGCGCTGTCGTGTCATCGTCATTCGCTTGCTAAGCTAAGTTCACAGCATTTTTGCTTCTAACACCAGCCTGTTGTTCCAGACCTTGTATGATTGACATCGGTTTGGAACCAGTTATGCGAGGTAGGCGACGATTGTTCCCCACTACACGGAACCGAAAAATTACCCAAAATTAAGTTCTTTTCACTCATCTCCGCTTTTGGTAGTTTACATTTGACTTTGACAAAAACAATTACTTACTCGTGAGTATGTTCTACCCAAAAGTAAGTTCAATTTGAGGTTATATTCTCATATACTCACTAGTAACTTATTGAACGATAGTCATGAGAAAATCGAATCTCTCGTTCCGTTTTTGACAACAACAAAAAGTGAGAGTGGGATGCAATACTCAAAATTACCCAATATTAAGCAAAAAGAACTTAAATTTAGGGTATTTTTTTCTCTGAGTAGATTTAAATTACAAACAGTTTGCTGCTTCTCACTGATCGCGTCTCTTACCGCAGTGAATCCGGATCTAAAAATAACCTTACCCACTAACACAACTATCCTTCCCGTGGCAATTGTGAAGACCCTAATAAACAAATACCATACACGAACGATAACCCAAATGGTAGAACTATTCCAAAAATGGTTTGGATGATAGCCCGAACACGTCGCTAAGCACTTTTTTATGGTTATTATTATTAGGGCATGCAGAGGTCAACACGGTCTTCAGTAACAACGATTGTCGAACTAATCATTCTTCCCCTACCCAAAGACCTTGAGGACGTGGCCGGCGTCGTTACTGATCTATAAAGAGAAAAACTTGTGAACTTGTATATTGAAGATCTACATCTATGTGCTTCTCTGTGTAATTTCACTAGTTTTGATCAGTAACGGAGTTTCAACTACGACATGAATTTGGCCATATTTAATTTGGATGTTCTAGTAAAGTTTGGTTCAAAATTGAGCCAAAAATATTATGTTTAAAGATGAAGACGACGGAATCAACTTTTTTTTTATCAAAAAACATGCATGTTTTCAATTTTGCAGAAAATTTCAAAGCTTTGTTTCCATTTCCATGCTATTTTTGGCTACTCCAGGAATCGGGAAACAGCTGTTGTAAAAAATTTCAAGTCGAAAATTCTTCCGATTTCCCTGGAATTATTTTTCCAACTTCTGCTAGTACATCTTCCAATTTTTCCCGAAAGTTTTATTTTGTCAAACTTCCCAATTTCTTGTGACTTCCCTCAGAAGTTTCTTGCATTTTCCAGTCGGAAAGTTTCTTCTGGCTTCTCCGGGTAAAGTCTTCGGAAGTTTTATCGGACAGTTCCTGAAAATTGCTTCCAATTTTCTCCGGAAGTCTCATCCATCTTTCCATTGAAGCTACACACTTAATCTAGCTCGGTAAAATCGCCAACAGCCGATTACCTCGGCATTTAATTTTGCTGATATATCTGCAAAATATCTGTTTGTTAGCTGATATCTCAGCAAAATGATATTTGTTAGCTGAGTCTCGGCAATTGTTTTACTGAACCTCAGCAAAATAAATTGCAGAACTACTCGGCTGTTGGAATCTCGGCGAAAAACTTAAAGGGTGTACACAGATAAAAATCTTGAATTTTAATTGTGATGTAAACATTCATTCACGTAAACTTGTATTTCATTTCACGCAACCGAGCAACTTGTAAACAATGTTGTTTGCAACAATGGGCTTTTGTATACAATATTTGCTACATTGCATGAAATGTGTCAGAACTTTACATGATATATAATGTAAACTTATATGATATGTGATGCTCCATTTATGTGCATCATATTGAACAGAAGTTTACACTACTTTTTCGAACTGTTCTAATAGTTCTAATCTCATTTATAATCATACTGGCAGAGTTGCGACCTATCACAATCAGGATCGTCAAACAGCTGATGGTAGTAACGCTTGGTACATTCCTATCAATGTGCTTATGGAAGCACTCTCCCTGACCATCCATCAAGTTGACGAAAGAAGTAAAAAGCAACTGGTGAATGTCGTCTTCAGTAGTGATCCATCACTGATCTGGTCATTCCCGACAATTGCGACACTCATCTGTGCTCGTTTTGAAGCAGTTGCTACTTTGCTTGCTTATGTGGGTGTGTTGGTGAGTGAGTCCAACAGCTTCCGTTTAGTTTTGCCAGCTTTGTTTGTAACTCACACAGTCGCGCGTGCCGAGACGATCTTGGAATGCGCAGGTATTGCTGATTGCATCTGAAACTGGACTGTCCCAAAAATGCAAAAAGTATGATAAAAGTGCACGTTGCCTGCATCACAAGGAATAAGTGCACCAAGCCGATTAGACGTAAACTTGAAGTTTTATCACACTTTTTAATAAGTGAAATCACGCTTATTAGTCCAATTTGGTGTGAAGCGCGCAATATTGTTTTCATTTTCTTCTGTCGTTTCGCTTTTTCTCATCATCGTACAGTAGAAGTCTTCACTGTTTTCGTTGTGCTTTACATTATCAGCGAGTGTTACGCTTTGCCTGTGAGCAGTGACCGCCATAGCTTTACCTCTCACTGCGTGACAAAACGTTCTGTCAGCGACAGTCGGTTGATGCGATTGATTGATTTATCTTTATTAAGGAGGCTTTCAGCCTGAGGCTGGCTCGCCTCCACCGGTTGATGCGTTGACGAGCGTCGAGTGAGTGTCATGATATTTTGCATCACTGCATACTAGTTCTGAACTACCAAAAAAAAAACCAAAAATAATAAAGGCAAGCGGAAATAGGCAACAAAAATTCATAGACATTAAGAGAACACTATTTGATTTCAGAAAATTTCGTTACAGTTTGGGAAACTTCGTTAAAGTTCAGGGAACGTTCTAGAATTTCAATAAACTTCATAGATCTTTAGGAAAATTCTAAGAAATTAAAGAAAACTTCGTTGAAGTTCAGGGAACTGCGCAGAAGTTCTGGAATGTTTCTAGAATACCAAGATTAAACTTGCCACAGTTGGCAATACTTCATATAATCTCAAAAAGAAACGGCTGTCAGCTCTCCCAATAGAATATCGCCGTTCAAGTTCTATGAAAGAAATTCAAGATCAAGAGCAAAGCAAAATTTTTGAACGGTGATCAAAGATTGCTATGAGTCAGATATTTTTTATTGTGATCAGCTAGCACTTTGCTCCCGTGCCGTTCAACATTCAACACTGCCAATTTAATCGTATCCTAACGGGAAAACGTAACACCGAATGGTCCTTATTCAATCACCGTGTGTGGTGGGTCCACTTGGTCGTCATTAGCAGCAGTGCTTTCGGCGCGTGGCGTTGAACATTGTTCTCCATTACACAACGAAAGGCTGCCGGCAAGCAGCGAGCTGCAGCTCACATGAGCGTCCATTCACCTAAGAAAGAGGAAGAAGCCTGATCGGATTCAGTAGCTCTTCGTGAGTCGCTGTGGGTCATCTATGCCAAGCGTGTCACCCTCGTTCCAAACAACATACAGCTCGCCATCGTATCCGTGTTGAATACCCTAATAGCTCAGCATTACTCAATCATCACGGCAAAATAGTCCTTTTAATTTTCATTGAACGTTCGCTCGCCTTGCTGCCAGCCACATCACCCCCAAAACTCTTTGATAATGTACCCCCAGCAACCAAACGTTTGTGGTCAAATCCGTAACAGTATTGAACTGGTACATACAAATTCTCGAAATGACCGAATACCACATGACCTTGTAAATTAACCAGAAATGCTTCGAATTTAGGTAAGTTTTTCTCCAGGGCGTTAGAAAAAAGCAAAAAATCTCGAATTTATATGATTGATCGCGCCTAACCTCCAATTCCTGATATCATCTCAACTCTATGCAGTATGGTCACACCATATATAATATCGTTTGTGTATGGTACCCGTCCCGTCCAGAGCTGTCCTCCTTTGGTGATGAAAATTATGGACATTGTCCAAAATTCAAATGAAATGTTCTCCTTTTCGATTTTTCATATGGTAACCCTAACCTTAAATCGTTTATGAAAAAATGCTTTAAAATGTGTAAGTAGATGGATATAAAAATAAAGTTTCTTAAGAATATAGCTTGAAATCACCTCAGCTACTTTGCCGATGAACATATTCAAAAATAAGAAGGTTTGTTTTTCAATATCAATTTATTAGATGACTTCCCTAACTTTATAAAAGACTAGAAGAAGGATCTTTTAAAAATGACATCGACCCAAAATGTCAAAAACTGAAGATAAAAGCATTCGGACTTTTGTCTTACTAAATTGGTGAACGGGTGTTAATGATACCAGCCCCATCGTAATTTTTAAGAGATTTCAATTTACTTTTTTCAAAAAAGCTAGAGCTAAAATTTTAAGGACCAGCCTAGTTCAATTCAGAAAAAAGGTTCTAAAATGAAAACGGCAAAAGGTAGAAAACATATTTTTCCAGTAAAGCAGCTTGAAATCATCTCAGCTTCAGCTTACTCCAAAAACAGCTGTCTTTATTTTAAAAATATAAAAAAAGTTAGTTTTTCTATATCAATTGATTTGAGGGCCACCCTATTTTTTAATACTGCTAAAAGATGGAAATTTTTAAGCAAAAAAAGTTCACTGGAGACACAAAACTTGTAAAACTTAAGACAAAAGCGCTAGAGCAGTTTTCTTGCTAACTTCCCATTCTGGACTACTGTGAATTGGATCTCAAAGTATTGATTTAATAATGAATAGATTGTAATTATTGTGGGGAAAATCAGGCTTAAACACAACAACAATGATGTGATTACTTCACGGACAAACTGGATTATCTAAGAAAAAAAAGATCTTCAAAATAATAGTTTCATTGAATTATGAATCTGAATATTATAATAAATAAATAAGCTTCTACTGTGTTACCAGACTCATAATCAACGGGATACAACTCATACCTCGTCTAATTGAACATAGCATAATTAATTTAAACGTAGACGAGTTCATGTTCCCCCAGCGATACAACGTGTATTAATTATGAGTTAAGTAATGCCAGTTGGGAAATTTTGGCCACTTCTAAGACCAATTCAGGTTATCTGGGGAACCAAAATGTGCCTATTTTATGTCAAAATAAAAATTTAATAGTAGAACAATTTTCATGAATAGAGACGTACCAGCCCAAGGCTGAAAGTCTCTCTAATGAAGCAAATGACAAAAATCATGAAATTACCACTTTTACGGTCAATCCAGATCCTAGGAATCGTGCAAATATCATTCCACCTGAAGTACTCCAACCGCACAAGAGCACCCATCAGCGCATAAACATCTCACTTTCCAGAATCTTTCGTTTTTCCCGGTTCTCTACCCTGATCTACAACCGATCTATTCGAATGTTCCTCGTTTAAACTACAACTACTTCAAAACTACAAATGTATGCTGAACACTTTCGCTCCTAAACTTCATCACATATGAATCGTCGGGAAATGATCATTCACAGTTTTCGCTTCACCTGCAGTTCGACCGATCACAACTCCGCCCAGTTTTCAGTGCCTCAGCGGAATTCTGACGTACTCCTCCAGCTAGGTTTTCTCGTCGATCCCAAGGGCGTCGAATGGCTTCAGGTAGGGCAGTGGTCGCTGGGGCCAGACTTTCCGCTTCTTCAGCGCCTCCCCGATGCGTTCCAAGTTCTTCAGCTCGGCCAGTATCGGGTAGATGCGCTGTTCGATGAACTCTCCGGATGTCCACTAGGAGGGCGTCAAATCGATTAGCTATAATATTTTTTTGAAAACCAATTGAACCAACTTACGTGATCGTAGACATCGGCAAGTGTTGACGCAGCGTTTCTAGCCAGATTGGTTATCGAGTTCAGCAGGTGGTAGTCTTCTCCCAGCAAGTCATCCACCCGTGTCCCCGAAGAAAAGTTGTGCCGTATGTTGTACTCCGTCAACCAACCTCGCCTGTTCTTCACCTCATCGATGTACTCCTTCGCTTCGGTCATGAGGGTCATCAGCCGGAGCATGAACCTGTAGATCACACTGCCCGGGAACATGCACCGTGAAAACATAGACAGCGCAGAATCCTTGTGCAGTTCAACCCACGCGTGTCGATCGCTGGTAGGTTCCGGGCAGGTCAAACTGCTCAGCACGGGATTCGTCTTAGGATTAACGTCGAAATATCCACGGGATGCCGTCGAAAGACAGACGGCCAGCGAGGGAAGAGCACTCGGGAGCAGTTCGCATAGGATGGCAAAGTGATCGTAACGTTGCCAGCCGGTAAGTGCCAGACCCTGAAGGCCTTGGGAGAAGCGAGTGCCCTCTCCCTGCATAACCGCCAGCCAACGGAGAGTGTTTTCCAGGTGGCGTCTTATCGGTGGGAGTAGTAGAGCTTCACCGTGAGCTCCTTTGAAGGCAGATGCGGCCCAAGCAGTGTTGAATACGTTGGCATACTTGTCCCATGTGGTCGATTGGATGAATTTGTATATGTCTTCGGCATAAACCCAGATCATCGGTTCAACTAGTTTACCAACTCCGGAGGTCTGCAGTGTTTCGAGGGACATGTGTCGTAGCATGTCGTCCCAGATGATGATTTTGAGGTGGGGCCATTTCTTGCGGATCATCGTGGCTACGTTGTAGATGTGGTCCAGGAAAAGTAGATCTTTTTGGCGATTTCTGCATCGACTGCACTGGGCTATTTGGTAGACTTCGTCACAACCGATGTGGATATGCGTCAGCTTGGGGGTTAGTTTTTCTATGTCTTCTTTGTGCAGAAGGTTCTTATTTTGCAAGGGAGTGTGGAACTCGATCACTTGATCGAGCATTTCCTCCAAGAATACCGTGCTGGAATTCTGACTTGGACACAAAGCTTGCGGAGCATCTTCTACTTCTCTGAGGTGTTGGAATTCCTGGAGTTTCAGGACAAACTCCAGATGACCAAAGGTTTGAACCAAAGGGATAATGTTGAGCCCCAGTTTGAAGGCCGTTTGTAGGACTTCCAAAATTTCGTCTTTGCTGTAGGCATTTTTGGCAGCAATCGGAGACAGCGATCCACTGTATGGGAACATGTCTTCGTATTCTAGTAGAATCCCGGTTGCCCCAAGAGTCTTCATGATGGGCATCAGTCTTTTCAGGTAGGAAACCTTTGGTGGTGCGCCTTTTAGATCCAGATGAACTAGGCGTTGCAGAGGCGGTGGGTGGCCTCCAGGACCAATCCCGGCTATGACAGGAACTCCCATCTTTTTAAGCTCGTGTTCGTAATGATTTTGCTTTTCGGCTGCTATCCGAAGCTCTTCAGCGGACTTGCGCTTGACCGGTTCTTGTCTGGGCTTTTCGTCTCGATCTTGCAGGATGCTTTCCCAATCGTTGAAGAATTTCGCTAAAATAATGCAAGATGACGTTATCAAAAACAATCTTGGAAATGCAACATACCTCTTATCCTATTCACAGAACTCCCTGTCGGTCTAACAAACTTAACGCCACCGGCGCCACTAGCACCTTGCCCATCATCAGAGGACGCGTCATCGTAGAATCCAAGTCGTTGCAGAAGGCTCTCGTGATGTGCTGCGGCTCCACCAGCGCCACCGGTTCCACCCATCATAAGCTCCCGCACGGAAACGATCTTACCGCCATCCGTCACGTGTGTGGTGTAGAGAAATCCCCAAAACCAAAGAGCTACCAGGAAGAGCAGTGAAGTAGCAAGCAGGAGAAGTTTCTTACGCCAGAACAGCATCAGCAATCGAGAGTGCATCGTGGGTCCGGGTGAATCTGTAGATGGTATTTAGAGTGATTTTATTAGCATCGAATTTTACACATTGAACGGGTTCTGCAATTTTTGTTCGCATTTCTATTCATGTCAGGTTCGTCGTAGTTTTATTTTGTCAACCTTTCTGGATTTTTCAATTTTCTTTGCCCCGACTTTTTTTTATTGCTGTTGAAAGCCAACAGTTGCCGGTTGTTTGGAAATTCTTCGGTGGCACTTTCGGTTGTGAAATGATGCGAATGTGTTATTTGGCGTGAGAATTTGGCAGGGCAAAGGAATTTGCAAAACGGCGGACGCCGTGGACTTTCGAGAGACAAAAAGTGGTTTGTTCTGTTGACTTGTATTGGAGCATTTCGGTTTGTTTCTGAATCCACATTACTGGGCAATGTTCATCCTTTTTCGTATGAGCATGAGCATGATTGACCGCCCGCGGGTGCTACTCCGTTATTGCCAGATCAGCTGTAATTACACAGAGAACCAATAGACGATGCTTGGGACTAGCATTCATCATCAATGTGTAAAAACTGGTGATCTCAAACTAGGCAATACCAGCGCCAGTCGCGTACGAATGCAGGTCACGAATGGAGTGGATTGAAATGAATTGACGTGACGCTTTGATGGTTGTCGAGAAATCATCTACACTTCCACGAGGAATTACTGGGTTTGGTTGGGTTTGCAGGAGGATTCGTTTTGGTAAACGATAAGCTGAATTTATATCCTAACGATTATATAACGCGAAGTAGCTTGTGATTGAACCCACGGTGTTCTGCTCAACAAGCAAAGACGTTTGCAACTAGGCAAACGAGCTCCTTATATTAAAATACACCGCTTGTGATCGAGTTGTTGGTATTACCATGTATTTTTTTTTTTTTTTTTTTTTTTTAATAATTCGTTTATTTTTCCAGGCTCATTTGCTGTAGCTTTGCGGAGCCGATATTCATTGTTTAGATAACAAAATTACTTAAAACTAACGTTAGTAAAGCGGGGGCCGATTACTCGCGGCTATCTCGAGGTTAGGGGTAACAAATTGTAACAAATGGATGGCAGGGTAGGGATTGTGAACACAAGGTTTGGAGAGCAATGTGCTCTTGATCTCGAACTAGGCGACACTCTGATGAAAAAGACAAACATGGGGGTACACCGATGGGTAGCTAACAACTTGGGAGAACACAAGATGACACTAACTTCTAAATCCTCAAATCTATCCGTTTTAAAAACACATAAATTAAATTCAAATAGTCAAGGTCTCGGCTCGCCAAGACATCTCTAACGGGTATCGAGGGTTGTTTTCCTCGGGCCCTGAGGGATGTGGATAACTCAGATCTGGCAACACGGTGTTAGGTACACGACCAAACAACATGCTCGATATCGTGATAACCACTGCCACACGCACATAAATTGCTGCCTGAGAGCCCAATTCGATAGAAGTGCGAGTCTAACGAGCAGTGATTGGACATAAGCCTTGATATAACGCGTATAAAGTCGCGGCTCATGTCCAACCCTTTGAACCATGGTTTGTTCGACACCTGTGGGAGAATAGAATGTAACCATCTTCCCAATTCACCATCATTCCATTTGTGTTGCCAACTGATGAGGACTTGCTGACGAGCAATGGAGAAAAATTCGTTGAAGGCGATTTGTCGCTCAAAAATATCGCCTTCCATAGCGCCCACCTTAGCCAACGAGTCCGCTTTCTCATTACCCGGAATTGAGCAATGAGATGGGACCCAAGCTAAGGTGATAGTATAGGAGCAGTTAGATAAAGCACTCAGTTTAGATCGTATTTCAGGCAGGAAATACGAGGAGTGCTTCATCGGCCTCATTGAACGAATAGCCTCCAATGAGCTAAGACTATCCGTAAAAATGAAATAATGGTCAGAAGGTAGTGAGGCAATTCGCTCTACTACGTAAAATATAGCTGCGAGTTCCGCAACGTATACGGAGCATGGTTTCTGCAGTTTATAGGAGGCGCTATGAAATTGATTAAATACACCAAATCCAGTGGAAGCATTTATGGTTGACCCATCTGTGAAAAATCTTTTATCGTTACTTACATGGTGGTACTTGATTGCAAAAATTGAGGGAACAACCATCGATCGATGGTGATCTGGTATTCCATGGATTTCTTGCATCATGGTCAGATCAAAATTTACAGAGGAACTATAGAAGGCTTGGAAGCAATCACGATTGGAGATTAATGAAGAAGGACCAACCTCCAGCGTCATGTACTCATAGTACAAACTCATGAATCTTGTTTGAGGATTTTGGTCGAGCAGCTTCTCAAAGTGTTCTATTACCAAAGGATTCAATACTTCACAACGGATGAGGAACCGGAGAGACAGTTCCGCGAAACGATCTGTCAGTGGGAGAACACCCGCGAGTACTTCGAGGCTCATCGTATGCGTCGAGTGCATACAGCCAAGCGCGATTCGGAGGCAACGGTATTGAACTCGTTGCAGCTTCAAGATATGTGTTTTCGCCGCGGATTGAAAGCAGAAGCTACCGTACTCTAGAACCGACAAGATGGTTGTTCGATACAACCTGATAAGATCTTCCGGGTGTGCTCCCCACCAAGTTCCGGTAATTGTACGAAGAAAATTGATTCTTTGTTGGCATTTTTGTTTTAGATACGCAATATGTTTTCCCCATGTGCATTTGGAATCGAACCAGACACCTAAATACTTGAAAGATATACTTTGAGTGATTGTTCTACCCTTTAGTTGAAGCTGTAACTGTGCAGGATGATGCTTCCTAGAAAAAACAACCAACTCAGTTTTCTCCGGAGAGAATTCGATACCCAGCTTCATAGCCCAAGTAGACAAATTGTCTAAGGTATCTTGCAATGGTCCTTGCAGGTCCGGTGCACTTGGCCCTATAACGGACACAACGCCGTCATCTGCAAGCTGCCTTAGCGAGCAATTTTCATCAAGACAACCATCAATGTCTTTAACGTAAAAATTATAAAGAAGGGGGCTTAAAAATGAGCCCTGGGGGAGACCCATGTAACTAATTCGTGAAGTTGTCGAGTTTCCATGAGAAAAGCTCATATATTTCTCAGACAACAAGTTGCTCAAATAGTTGTTCATAATTGGTGAAAGCCCACTATCGTGGAGTTTATCCGAAAGGACATCGATACAAACAGAATCAAAAGCCCCCTTAATATCCAAGAAAACTGAACCCATTTGCTGTTTTTGCGCATAGGCCAGTTGAATTTCAGTTGAAAGCAACGCAAGACAGTCGCTCGTTCCTTTGCCTCTCCGAAATCCAAATTGCGTATCTGAAAGTAAACCATTCGACTCGACCCATTTGTCTAGACGAAAAAGAATCATTTTCTCCAACAATTTCCGTATACAGGACAGCATCGCGATGGGACGGTACGAGTTATAATCCGACGCGGGTTTACCGGGTTTTCGAATGGCGATAACTCTTACTTGCCTCCAATCATCCGGAACAATGTTGTGCGCCAGAAATTGATTGAATAAGTTCAACAAGCGTCTCTTCGCGACGTCTGGGAGATTTTTGAGCAAGTTGAACTTGATTCTATCCATTCCTGGAGCTGAGTTGTTACATGAGAGGAGAGCAAGTGAGAATTCCACCATCGAAAACGGAGAATCTATTTCGTTACTACCCGACGGACTATCACGAACGTTGGTTTGAACCGACACCGAATCCGGGCAAACTTTCTGCGCGAAGCTGAATATCCAACTGTCTGAGTACTCCTTGTCTTCGTTGACCGGTGATGACGCGTTGCGCATTCTCCTGCCGACATTCCAGAGTGTTCTCATGGAAGTCTCTCTCGACAAACCATCGACGAACCGACGCCAGTAACCGCGTTTTTTGGCTTTAATCAAGCTCTTAAAAGTTTTCTCGAGGTCGGTGTACCGCTCGAAATCCTCGACCTTACCGTGTTTGCGGAAGCGTTTAAACGCGGCGGACTTCTCGCTGTTCGCGTCGGTGCAATCCTTATCCCACCACGGAGTGAGAGGTCGTTTGCGAACGAAAACACCCGGAACGCGTTTCGTCTGTGCTTGAAGAGCGCAGTCAACAATAAGTCGCGATAAAAAGGAGTACTCATCCAGCGGAGGGAGTATCTCAACCGAATCAGTACCACCGAGAACCGCGGACGCAAATTTTTGCCAGTCGATGTTTTTCGTGAGGTCGTACGCGATGTCAACCGAGCGAGTGGAAGATGAACCATTGGTAATAGAAATTTTGATTGGCAAGTGGTCACTACCGTAGGGATCTTGAATTACTTTCCACGAGCAATCCAACGATAGTGAACTCGAACTGAGGGAGAGGTCTAATCTACTTTCTCTTGCTGGAGGTTTGGCCACTCGTGTTACTTCCCCAGTGTTTAGAATTGTCATATTGAAGTTATCGCAAAGGTCGTATATCAGGGTTGAGCGGTTGTCATCGTACAGTTCCCCCCAGCCTGTACCGTGGGAGTTAAAATCTCCTAATATCAACCGAGGCTCACATAAAGCTGAGCAGATATCTGAGAGACCTTGGCGAGAAATCGCAGTTCTTGGAGGAAGATATACTGAGGCAATACTGAGGCTTTTACCTCGAATATTTACCTGACATGCGACAACTTCAATGCCTGTCACGGAAGGCAGATCGATTCTATGAAAGGAATGGAGCTTATTAATCCCGAGAAGCACCCCTCCATACGAATCTGCTCGATCAAGGCGAATAATGTTAAAATCGTGGAAAGGGAGATCGGTGTCTGAAGAAAGCCATGTTTCACAAAGAGCAAATGCATCACAAAGTGAGTTGTGAACTAAAAATTTGAATGTGTCAAGTTTCGGTATAAGACTTCTACAGTTCCACTGAAGAACAGAGATCATATCCCCGACCTCATTCGGAAAATTATCCATCAAAGGATATGATCGATGCAAGGAAGGACCACCTAGAAGCTAGTTGCTTCAAAAGAGTTTTCACGAATGGAAGCACTAAATTAATAATGTTCCGAGTTGAGTCAGAGACGTTGAATATATCGAAGATG